GAATATGTGCCATGCCGTCAGTATTAGATTCAGACATTGTGAAATCTCAACAGAAGCATGCGATTATGCCTGTCTAAAATGAACATGTATGAATGCTATAGGCTAAATTCCATGATATATACTTAAGATGGGGTTACTTCACAGTATACTAAGAGACAATGTCAATAGATAGATGGATGGCATTAAATGCTATCATACACTCATATCAAATAATTAGTATTTGGGGGATTGGGGTAAAATCTAGTTTGTTTTCTTGCATTCATTCAACACTGCTCACCTTAATGTGCTGTTATATAGGGGTATAGGATGCCTATATGTACTATCATTATCATTGATAATGATACTTTGGTAGTTTAATAATCACATTATATAAATGTACACCTCCCTGGTATATAATGATAAACATATTTGCAAAGAATGCTGAGATGACGCAATTGTACACAATTTTACAATAATATAAATGAAAAATAAATGTTAATTGATATTACACCATTTTTTATGTTTATTAAAAGTCTGAAAGTCAAAACTTTGAATTGGTTTGAGCAAAATATCCTATTTTGATATTTATAATTTACAAATTATCCATGAACATTGAAAGTTGAAACCTTAGATGTGGAGTTTTTCTATTTTATGAGGTCACCAAGATTTTTAATTCTTTTGGAATTAACTGCCAAGTCTAATAAGGATTAGAGGGATGAAAACATGAAGAACAAAACACCAAAACCATGACTAAATTGTCTAAATATTGCAAAACTATCTGTTAATGTGCATTTTTTCATGAAAATATAATTTCTGATAACTCAGATACCATTTATTATCCCAACGAACGAAGTTCGGTAGGGATATAGTGAAGCCCTCCGTCCGTCCGTCCATCCGTCTGTCTGTCCGTCCGGAAGATAACTCAAACATTAGTTGACGGATTTTCTTCATATTTAGTGGAAAGATGTATATTGGTGAATGGTTTTATGCAAAAAAAATTTTTTCAAGATGGCTGCCTCTTTAAAAATGACGGGACTTTTTCGCAAAAATCATAAATTTTTCAATCTAAACCAAAGTAATTAATATTATTATTTGAAATTTTGGTAGTATATTCGCAACATCTATCTTTTTCACATATATTCCGTGTTTTTCATCCTGACCCCCAGGGGCCGTATATGGGGGGTCAGGAAAACAGAAATTTTTCGCTTATTTTTAGATCTTTCTGAAGTATAGCTTTATTATACTCAAATTAAAGGCAATTAAGAGTAGATTGCAAATATTGTATCTTTTTCTGATTCGAGCCTCGTAAAATTCAAAATGGCCGTCTAATGTACGATTTCGCAATAATTTTTCGATCCCTTCAAAGTATGGCTATATTATACTCAAATTGAAGGAATTTTGGAGTAGATCACAATTATGGTATTATTTTTCAGATTTGTACACAGAAAATTCAAAATGGCTGCTTCGCAGGAATTCGCAATTCTAAAATCTAAATTTTTCAATTTTAACCAAAGTAATGAGTATAATTGATTGGAATTCGGTAATTGATGTTTTGTTCGTTGGGATTTGCTACTCCGCGGAGTTGCCGTTATCTAGTTGAATTTAGTCTAAATTTATGTCACTACCAGAAGTTACTCTTTAACCTTTTTGTGGATAGTGTCTGAACAAATGGTGGTTGACATCTATAACAAATGGCAGGTGGTGACATTTTGCATGTTAATGACAAAGGATGAACAAATATATTTGAATAATCTTCATTTAATGTATTTTATTCAGCTATATATTAAATAATTCAAAATATACAATTACATAATAATCATACAATAGTTTGGTTGAGATCTAGACACAAAAGTGTCATTTCAAATAAATATAATTGTTTTGTATAAAATCAACATTTATTCACATTTCATAATTGCAGTCAATTTGTACAATTCAGACTTCTTTACTTAACTGTATAATGCTACAATGGAAATAATATTTTATACAAAATAGACTCCATAATCTAATATAATAATAGTGCTACAATACATTAATAAATAACTTCACAATTTTGGTTAGATTTCTGGACGGATGGCATTTATACATACAGTAGTAACAATTTACTGGACGGATAATAAGTGATTTAAAATGATAAAATATCAAAGTCTTGAATGACAAAACACAGCAGTAAACGAAGTAATAGTTTTTGAGTTCCAAGTCAACAAATTGATATCACATCGACTAGTGATCTCAGGATGACTTGTCTGACCAGACAAAGGGCTTAAAAGACATGTACATGTGTAGCATAGCAGAAGCATAGTATCTTTTTATAACAAATAGTCTTACTACGGGCAGCTATAAACACTTATTTTCTCATGGTTGTTTATCACAATTCTACATTGGAATCTGGACGGAATAGATTTTACCTGTTACCTAAATATAAGGAAAATAGATATGTACTTTGACAGGAATGATTTCCTCTAAAAACGAAGGTGAACATTAGAAATTCTTATTGATTTTTTTCTTGTACCAGGGTTCGTACATGACAGAATGACATGACTGCACATGTATTGTACCTATGGTTCAAAAATACTCCAGATCAAAGACATGACTGTCTAAAATCACTTGCCATATCATATGCAGTCTCTCCATTTTCTGGACTTTTTAGGACTTTTGACACCTGTGACTGCCAGTGAAAGAGATGACAAGAGACAATGATACAATGTACAGTATCGTAATTTTGATCTCAATTTCAAGTAACAGAGGAAGAACTTCGTGTGTGTTTCTTCCCAACTTTTCCCGATGTACTTTTTGGTCTTCGTTTTTTGGCAGATGTAGTTTTACGTTGACCAAGTAATTCTTGTTGTTCTTCTAGACATTGTTGCTTCCATCTCGCCTCTGCCTGAGCTGAAGTCAGAATAACAAATATGTGATAAATCAACAGTAAATGCTATATGTGGGGGCCTATCAACTAGGCTTGAGAGATTTGTTGACCTCTTGTCATTGTTACTTCCATTTCACCCCTGAGCTGATTCAATTTACCAACTGAAATAAACCCACACTTCTAATTTATAGAGATTTAATTTTTCAAAAAGGATATTACTAATGAACAGAATGATGAAGTTCATATTATATTACATGTACTTACCAACTGCCTTATTGGCCAACTTGAGACGATGGAACTCATCTGCTAACCACACTTCTGGGCGACTCAACAACCTGAATAAGACACAAAGTTCTGATTATATCACATTCTTATGGAATAACGATTGGAATATGGAGTCTTAGAAAGTGTTTAGTTTCTTTTGTAGTATCACATCTTTATTCAGAACTTCACTAAAAGGGCAGTCAGCAGCAAAAGATGATTTCACGATGGATAAAAACAATTTATAAATTCATTTATCAAATTAGCTTTCAAATGTCTATAAAAGCCAATGAATTCTCCAATATTTTCTAAAATGACCTTCAGGCTACTTTGATCTTACACACAGATGTAAAATCAGCATAACTACTTACCCTGAGCCTCCTCCTTGCGGTGGCAGGCCATCAATTCTTGTGTCAAACACCTGCTCTGAAGGTGGCAATAAAGCCCTGAAACCAAATAAATGAACATAATATACCAAATAGGTGAGGAAACATTTAAATCAGAGGATATTATACTTACTTTAGGCCTCATTTTCAAAGTTTTAGTCTAAAAATGTTGAGAAATATTTTTCTGTAAAATTTTGGTAAAGAAACGATTGATCTGCAACTAAAGCATTACATACATGTATGTCGGTATATAAAATGGTCAATCATTCATTTGATTTTCTTGGTACTGATTCAAGGGATTTTTGAACACCAGACATCTTTTGAAAAATTGTTTGAAAAAGTCTCTGATATTAAAACAAACATATTTTGCCCAGGGAAAGCCCCTTATGAAATACCCAGCTTCAATGCTTTACTGTCATATTCTTACCTCTTTACTGCTCTCATGTCGATGTCAAGTCCCTTCTCAAAGAATCTGTCTCTAATGTCCCTGCATTCCTGGAGACCTGGCCCTTCTATCTCCTGAGAAAAAATATCAGTTATCATGGAATAAGTTGTTAGATATGCCATGAAGGAGGTGTAAATAGGCCAATCATAAAAAATTATGTTAATCTTGGCACAAAAAAAGTGTCATCACTATAACTTAAATCAGATCAAAGGCATAAAATTCTGTTTAAGTTGACAGAATTCTCATTCTTTGAGATTAAGATCCATATAGGGCTATCAGTTCCCTTCATATTATAGCCTCTACATAGGAAAACTGGCTATTATTACTTTCAGAGTGATATTTAGCTCACAATTCATACAAGGAAGAACATACCACTTCCTCTTTCCTTGTAGTGATGTAGACAGGGGCAGGTGTAGGGAGAGCCTGCAAGTTGCTCATCTGCCGTTTTATCACATCCCTTGGTGTAGTGCTTTGATAATTCAGTATAGCTGCAATTAAATAATTTGAAATTGAGCAATACGGTATAAATTTAATAATTTCCCATGTATTGGCTATATGGGGATGTGCCGCTAAAGTGGGTCACCTTTTCATTGAAAACTCCCTAGATGTGGGTCCCATTTTGAAGAAAAAACCCTAGATATAGGTTCCATTTTGATTAAAAAATCCCTAGAACTGGGTCTACCAATTGAAAATCCTAAAGCTGGGTATCGTATTTGAAAAATTACCTTAACGTGGGACTATTTTTGAAAGAAGAACCCTAGATGTTGGTCCATTTTTAGAGAAAAAATCCCTAGATGTGGGTATATATTTTGAATCTCAGCGGCACACCCCTGTGCAAAAGTTGACCAGTTCCCAATAAATAGCTCCATGCTTAATTCAGCATTACAATTAGACATAAATATATTTTCCTCTGCAAACACCTAACTAGTTGTAATCATGTTCACTAGCACTGTTTAACTAATGTTCAAAAGCTTCTATAATTGATAGTATAGTTAACAGAATTATTTAAGACCCTCATTGAATCAATAACACAACTCCATGACTTACTCCTAAGTAAAACATTTCATTGGTTGATATTATGATTGTACATGTATGTAATAATGGCACCTTGAGTTCCAAATGTCTTTGGTTCCAGTAATGCTTTTACAGCTTTGTTTGCTCGCAATGCATCCTTTGATGTGGTCTTAGATGGCGCTGGAACTCCAGGTGGGGCTGACTGAAATAATAAAAAGATCAAACTCTATGAAGCTTCTCAAAAAATTGTTATATACATGTTTATGAATGTACAGTTAAACCTGTCTAATTCAAACATTACTCGTACTCGCCAAGTGTTTGGATCAACAGGTGTTCACATTTCAAGGTTTTTATCATGGAAGCCTCTGGCAGATTTAAAAAAAATAAAAATGGGACTTAAAGAGATTATAAATACATTCTATCGCATTTAATTTTATCAAAAACTTCAGCTTTGACCCAATGGAAGCTTTAATACTTAGCATCGGTGATGGATACAAGGCATCATTTTAATCCACTCTGATATCAATATTGTATTTTACAATTGAATGCAAAAAAATGTATATGTGTTGAAATGAAATAATAAAATTCAAACTTTAACAGTTCATTTAATCAGTAAACCTATTTGCTCTTAATATCTTTCATTCTAACAAAAGAAGTAAGATGACATACAATGGTGACATAGTGGCTGTTACAGTTACTTGAAAAAGAGGTGTGGAGTAGTTTCTTAAGTAAAGAAAATGCATTAATTTCTGAATCTCTGAAAGAAATGTTATAGAATCACAAATTCCTTCTTTTCTTGAAAGGACCCCTAGATACCTACGAGTATGTGCCCATATCCAGAATATAACTTACCCCATATACTTCCACAGCAGTTTTAGTATCTTTTGGACTTCCTTGTTGTATTGACACATGTTTTGGCGGCTTAGAATTTCCTCGAGGGCTCGTGAAATTCTTGGTTGGCCTCTCATGCCCCGCTGTAAGAGGTTTCCGCTGAAAAAGAAATAACAATTGCAATACCTCATACAATTTAGTATATCAACAACATATGTAAATGTACAAGCAATTTAATAAGGCATGATCAAGCCATCTGGTTTTTGCAATTACAAAGTGTAACCATTTGTTACAAATGCTAAATTCAGACAATTGTCACAAAAAATGGTGACTACAACAATGCCATTACTTCTTAGAGAAATTACCGATGAAACTTTATGACTAATTTTTGTTGATTTATGAGAGAGTTGCTATAAAGTTCATTTTGTTGGAAATATTGATACATCTCTGTGCTTGTAAAAGATTCAAACCTAAACATGCTAAACGAGACAAGTTTTAAGTCCTGATTTAGTTTCACAAGCAAAATTAAAGGAAATGATATATTTTACCAAAATGCTCATATTGCTTCCACCTCCTTCAGAAATGCCAAAAAATATAATCCAATTCTTTCACTTAAATCAAGCCTACTTAATACAATTGCAATCATGAATCTCACATCAACAGAGAACATCTAAATATTCTGAATTATGAGAAATTTTCAGTTTTGTTCATAACTATTAAAAATTAATGATATAGTTTCACCAAGGGTCATCATGGTGCAATTAACATCAATTATATATGTATCCATAGAAACTTAATAACAATGAGTCCTTTATGTTAATCATATTGCGATTGGTAAATTGCATTTCAAAATTAATTCAACAGATATCAAACTGTAAAGGAACATCAAAGGTTTCTATTACAAACAAGCAATATTTCCATATTGAACAAATGTGAAAAATGACTATTTTTGTGATTGAATTTGATATTGTAATCCATGCTTATATCAATCCATCATTCTTTCACATGTTTAACATCCAAGTCAGAATTGTCAATGAATGCACAAATATGTAAGGGGCCTGGTCAAGATATTTTTTCTACGACCATTTTGGACACTGGAACTAAATTTTTGCCTACTCAATTCCCGATGTTTTTTTCCATAACAAAATCTGGTCTTTAGTTCTCTCTGCTCATAAAATTAGTTTTGCTAAAAGATTTATATCATTATTTGACCCAGTCCCCAAGTATATTGAACCCAAAGAACCTCTTAATTACTTGATTTTAAGGTTACATCATACTCTTGGAAAATGTTATGAATCATAAATGACTTGGGAGAAATGAAATCACACTGATTATAAGTTATGTCATGACATATGCTATTCTAACAATGCGAGTTCTCATTTATTGATGAGCCAATCTATCAGTAATAATGAAATATTGATTTTACTAAAATATCAAGGTTATTTGCAATAGACAGCTAACCTGTAACTGTCTCTGAGGAATGTATTCATTGGCTTACACCTACAGATAATTACCATTCATGACGGTCGCAAACAATTTAATATTTAAATTGGGTGCCACAAAGCAGGCAGTCATTATTCATGTAAAAGAAGCTTAAGGTTCATCATCCTCAAAGGGTGCAATGATTTGTTCATAAAATTAGTTCATCCCTGTGTTTGAGCCTCGGGCATTCACTTAAAATCCAATTGAATGAATGAGTTCAATTTTTATTACCTTAAGCTAAGTCTTTCCCTCAAATCCTACATTCCACAGGGCACATTTCAGAAACAGATTTAAATTGTTTACATTATACCCATCATCTTTTTTATTTAGCTAAACTAACCTTATTCTTTATTTGGTATGTTTTTGGCTTGGATCTGATCCTATTATTAGCTGTTTCTCTCTCACTGTCTTCACCGCTGCTGGCATCTGCAATGATTTGATCATCTACAGAGTCATCATGTTCATTTTGAAGGAGGTCTGGAGACTTGGGGGTGTGGTCAGGAGCAGTGTCAGGAGCCATAGGGACATGACCAAGTCTTGATCCAGGCCTTGGTGGGGGACTACTTGACCTTAGCACCTACAAGCATTTACACATAAAATAACATACAATATATTTGCAATTCTTTGATAAAAGCTACATATTCAACTCAATTTTTCTTTGGTGCATTTATATATTTTGTAGCTGCTAAACTCTTATCCAACCTATTGCACATTTCAAATGATGACCATGACGACCACACTAACATTTGCCATTTTATAAATGAGCTTTGACCAAAATTTTTAGTTAAATCTTCAAAAATTCCATTCGTGATTTAGATCTGATATTTCAACATTTCAAGATTTTTCAGAAGTAAAGATATATATACCGTACTGCAGATACACTTTATTTAGCTCCCCTTTTACTTTGGTAGAATATAAATATCTGCCAAATTAAATATCCTTCAATTTTCAGATCACACAATCCCAAAATCAATGGTACTAACTACGAAACTAAGATTTTACTTGTATAAGTATTCTATTTAGAAATCAGTACTATACCAAGACTTAAGTGTAATAATAATAATAAAACTTAGCTCAGTGCTGAATCCGGTAAATTGAATGGCAACTTATGTTTAAAAATTGAGTAAAACCACCAAATTAAGTAGTAGCGCATTAAGTGCATCTACAGTATTATGTGTATGTAAAAAGGACTTGTGCCAATGGAAGCAGAAAAGTGCCATTGCAATATCTTACCTTTTTCTTTGCACTTGTAGGACGTTTTATTGGTACATGCATAATACGCCCTCTATCTTGTGGCACCTGTTCATCTGGTTTTGTATTTGGCTGTCTCTTTTGAGCACTTATAGGGCGCTTTACTGGAACAGCCTTATATCGTCCTCTATCAGGCTGTTCCACTTGTTTGACTAATCCCCCTAAGGCACTAACGCTTCTGTCAAGCTCTTCCAATCCAAGACCTTCTCCAGCTAATTGAAAAGTTTTAGTGACATAAGTCTTTTGATTCTCCTTTCCATTGCTTAAATCTTTTTGTTTTTCTAATTTCTTATCCATTGCAACTTCAAAATAATTCTTATTCACATCAGTTGAGATAACCTTAGTTGGTGAACCAGCTTTGGCTCGAAGAATCTCTAATTCTGCTTCGGACATTTTCTGTTCATTTTCATCTAAACAAGACATTGCGGTTTCCACTGGTTTGGATTTCTTTTTCTTTTTGGAGGATTTTTGTTTTTCCTCTTCATCATCATCATAGGCTACTGAAACCATAGCAACAGGGGCAGTTTTCTTGGCATATGACATTCCAGATGACGATTGCTCCGAGTCTACAATGACCAATGCTCCAGAGATATCGTCCAAAGTCTTTTCTTCTTCAAATTTAGTCTTACTTTTATTCTCATCTGTTGATTTTGCACTTTTCGTTCGTATATGTGGCTTATAGCCAGAATTCCTGGGGGTAATATTTACAGTTTCATTTTTTTCTTCATCAAACGTCACATTTAATGGTGGTTTTGGCCTTGGTAATGAACCTGTCAAACTACTTCTTAATTTATTTTGATCATTAAATAATTCATCATGATCATTATGTGAATTTACATAATTTTCCTGTTCCTCAAAATCTCCATTTACTGCATCAGATTTCACCTTCATTTGACTCACAACTTCATCATCGTCAAACATCACGACATCAAAATCCTCATTATTATTTGATTGGTTATAATCACTCTCCACATTTAATGGCTGGTTAAGAATTGTGGACGGCAGTTTGATATTTCCTTGTACAAAACTAAATCCTGTTTTTGTTGAGGCGGTCACTTGGTCGTCACGAGAAGATCGTAAAGTTCTAGCTGAATTTCTTGGAGAGTTCACAGATCTGAAAATAGATCACATGACATGGTAATGGGTATCATGAATATCCATCTTAATTATGTCCAATTAAATTAATTCAGGTGGGCCTAGGAAAAAGGTTCCAAAGTCACCTTACTCTGCCCACCTAAGAGTCACATCTCATATTATGGATTATTGCAATATTTCACATCAATTAAAATCATAGAATAAAATAGTGATAATAATTATCAATATAATTGTACATTGGCATGCCATCATATATCAATATCTAAGTGAGTCACATACATTAATGCTAGGGGGCAATAACGGATTTGCAAGCTTTAATACCTTCCACAACAATGTACATTGTGAAATAATTATGACATAACACAGTGAGTTCAATACTAGTGCTTCAAATGAACATAATTAATTTGGTATTGAAAAAGTTGCATCATATTTAGTCATGAGTCACTAGTACACCCTTCAGGTACAAGTTGAAAATTCTAGTTAAAACATTTATCTACTAGAAATAATCTCAATAACAGGATGAAAATTTGGAAAAGATAGATAAATTACTTTACTTAACAAACAAAAAACAATAAATCCTACAAACCTACCCGAGACAACAAACAAACATAAGAAGACATACAAACCTTTCTGTGATGAGTTCATCAGGGTCAAACATCTCTACAGTAGGAATAGCAAAGTCCAGCTTTATTGGTGTGGGAGTGCTGGAATTTAGAAATACTCTTTAGAAATTAACAAAGCTGCTTACAACTTTGGGATTAACTTTGGAGTTTCATCAACATGGTAATTTCTACTTGGCTCTGGCTTTGGGGTATTATGGCTAAAACCGTGTAAAATATAGCAGTTCAAATCATTTATCCCATCATCATCAAGTTAGGAACATAGTACAATTTATGAGACATTTATGCAAAAATAAAATACCAGAATTTCTAGTAAATGTACATTTTACACAGCACGTTTTCTTAAGAGTTGTGATGCTTTTGTTAATATGATTTACTTACGATTGAGACTGATCCCCCTCCCCTATCATATGCATCAAGTCAGGAGAGCCACGGGGTGGGGGTGGAGGGGGTGACACATTGTCCTCGCCCACATAGGCTGCTGATAGTTTACCTGTAAAAATAAGAATACACTGTTCCAAGAGTGAATGGCTTCAATGTACAAAGGTGTCACTTTCCAATGGGTCTAAAGAGCAGAAACCTTGTGAAAAATGTTGAAATATATGATGAGATTTTTTTTTAAATTTATTGATGGAATTCTTTCATACTTTTAAAAGAAAAAGTGAGTTATATTGACCCTGTGATGAATATGTAAAAAAAATAAAATTAAATAAATTAAAATTTCAATCCCAAATTCAACTCTTGCCAGTAAATTTCTCAACATATAAGCTTGGGCTAATTCCCACAATCCTTTCAGCTGTATCAACAGTTCTATTTTCACCAAAATGCAGTTTCCATTTCACCCTCATATAATGTAATACACTGAATAAAACTTCAAACTTACCCATGTCATATTTCTTGCCATTCATCTGTCCTTTTATGAAGTCATCAAGAGCATTGCCAGCATCCTCTCTTGAGAGATCATATTTGATGCCAGGGTCTGGCCCTCCTACCCAGCCTACCCCTGTAGCATAATTACTGCCTTTAGGAGGACGATCGCTGCTCTCATACTTGGCACCAGTCACTGAAATTACAGTGTTTGAAAAATATTCAAAGTGCTCTCCCTGGGATTTTTAGTTGAGTAAATATGAGAACCTTTAAAATTATTCCTAATTTGGTTTTGTGAAATGAATACATGGATTTAGATAATATTCACCTCCTCCTATATTTGCTGTGGCAAGATCAGTATCTTCAGATCCAGCTGCACTAGGTGGCGACAGTGCATCTTTTGCACTTTGGGGTCTCCTACGTTTACCACTAGGTGGCCTCCCTGGCCGAGCTTGTTTCGCACTTTCAGGACGTTTAGGTTTCCTATTGTGAAGTTTGATCAATTCAGGTATTGAATTGTTGCTACCCCTGGAAAAATTAAGAAATGTAATAAATTATATGTCTTTTTGACGAGGTGTTGCCCTACTGTCTCATTAAAATAGAAACTAGTTGCAATCAAAATCATTTTGTTTTTTTGTCAAACTTAATACTAATGAAAAATAAATACTAAGTAAACATTTTGTATTATTTACAAACAACTAATCTTACCAAGCAGAATGTGTTTTCTGTGAGATTAAATTAGACAATGGAGGCTGAGTGTCTATATCGCTGCGAATCACAGCTCTGGCTGTTCGCGTCACTGTGGCCTTGAGTTCCTTGGGGTCAGCTAGACCTACATTATAGAGTGCAGGCTTCACTTGATCTAGCTTCTGCAGGGACACACTAGCAGGAGACAGCCAGTTCTGAAATATATTATTGAAATATATGATATCAAATAGCAAATGTGATACAAAAATGACCATGCAAAACTAACCTTATAACCAAAATATTTGAAATCTGCATCAATTCTTTCTCCAAGAAATGAAACTTTATTATATTGTATCTACAGTGTATTATAAAGTAAAATACAAACCTGAGGAGGAACACTTCTAAAGTTCTTATTCATCCTATACATGTATACTAGTATGCAATTTGTTAAAGCATTACAATCATTCTGTCTCTTCAAAGCATTATATTCCATGCACAGGACTAAAGTAAATCTAAATTATGCATATCCTTTAGTATAGAGAAATAGTGGGACTCAGACTCTGTATTGCTTCTCATTGACAGTTATTGATTTACAAGGCTTACATGCAATAGCAATTAGATAAAACCAATTAACTTGGGTACTGTTGAAACAATATCAATTGTTAGTAGTGTACTATTGTCTACAAGTTTTCATTCATGTTGACATGCACGAAATGAACTTGATTTCTGATAGATTACTTTGTTTAAATGGAATTTGGTGATTTATTTTGAAACAAGATCAAAAAGCCTTCAGGTATTAAGATTTAACAAAAATTAGTTGTGGGGTGTACTGGCACCACAACTTGATCATATTTAAGGAATAGAGGCCGAGATTTTATTCTGTTCATTGTTAAAAGACTGAAATCGCGTAGCGATTGAGGTCTTTGGCAATGGCCAGAATATAATTTGAGGTCATATATTTGACATAAAACATAAAATCAAGGTCTTTGTTATGATTCTAATATGATAAACAGATAAGAAACACAACAATATGCATTTATGAATTTTAGTGGTCGTACATACTCCAATATAGACCAGTAAATCAATTGTTAGATAGCTATTGTGACGTCACGTATCATATTAGAATTGGGAATATAATATAACATGTCACATTTTCATATTTTATATATACAGGGTGGGCCAAAAAAAGCCAAAAATCTTTTTTAATTTTTGGCTCAAAATCATAATTTGCATACCAAATGAAACTTGAAGTTGTTATCTAGCCATGGATCATGAATGGTACACTTACTTGAATAAAATATGTCACCAGCGTCTCACTTAAACATGTGGTGTGCCATTAGAAATAAGCATAATTTGCAAAATATTCCTAAACTGATATGGCCTGATGACCGCCAAGCTATAGCCCTGATGCAAACCCCAGTGAGTATAGGATATGGGAAGGTCCCCAGGAGATTGTATGAAGGCACCCAATCTAAAAAATTGCTCAACTAAAGCTGGCAATTAAGACATGTTGAAAAAAAATTAGCTAACATTCCATTGATACTGTTATATCAGCAAGGCGACTAAAACTAAAATCTATCATCAAATAGGATGGTGGATCAATTGAACTCCTCTTTTAGATCAAATATTATCCAAGTTGAAGGACTTGTTACATTATATTATTACTAAGAACCCCTGGCACTATATAACTGCTAAGTTTGGGGTATGGAAGTTGGAAAATAAAAAAAGTTACAGTGTCTTGAAAAAAGTTGCATTTTTTTGGGCCCACCCTGTATATATCACTTCCCATATCTAATTTTGCCAGTCATCTGCTTTTTGCTTCGTTTTTTCACAATTTTGCCATTTATTTCTTAATCTGACTTCATCATTTGATAAATCCAATTGTGTTGTAATATTATTTGGTAAATCTGTCTATGTGTATGTTTTGTTTTGTTTTTATGTCATTTTATCACATTCATTTTTATTCATTTATAGTTAAAAATTATGTTGTTTTCACAATTTTTTAATACTTTAATAATCTTATATTTTGGTCAAAAAGGTTTCATCTGATGATGTTTTAGCATATTTTACCTATGCTCAAAATGAAACTTAAACATTTGTTATTTTTCTGCATCTCATGTAGCAGTGATTTATCAAATGGTAATTAGCTAAAAAAATTAGGTATCTGAAAGTATCTGTAGGTGCTGGATATGCATCACCATTCCTTCTTTACTGTACATTTAAACCCCTCTTAGGTAGCAATGTAATAGAATGAACAGTAGTTTATTTGGCTCTTGGCAAACTATTCAAAACCAGTGTGGCATGAAAGACAATTGACTGTCACCTGCAGCTGAACTAATTACACCCTATTCACTCATTCAATAGTTGAAAAGTAAACACAAAAGAAATCAAATCTTAAACTTCATCTGGCCTGCCTACTCAAACTGAACTAAATTACAACCACTCACTTCTCAACACACTTACCTCATAGTCAATACAAAAGAAATCAAATCTTCCTAAAATTGGACAATGGACCATTTTCCTTTCACAGGAGTCAGTGTGGGGTTTTAGTTAGATAAACCATTCATACTGGCCAAGGCACTTGGCTATTAATCCTCGTAAAACCCAGTACTTATAGTCTATCCATGAACACAATTACCAAAGCTTCAAAAAAGGTTGCTTGTGTAGAAAGTGAATTAGTTGCTTTATAAAATTGAAAAGGTGAGCATAGTAAAATGTGTAAACTGGGTAAACCATTATTTTTCCATATACAAAAAATCTCATACATGTATTAAATAATGTAGCCGTAGCTCTAAGCTCAAGCAGTAGAGCATCTGACATGTAATCAGGAGCTAGGTGGTGAATTGAATTCCCACCGAGGTGGAGTGACTTTTTCACATCAGACCTTAGCATAGGATTTGATCTTTTGTTTCAGATTAACCTATTTTGCTTGCAAAAAAATGATTAATATAAACTCACATCTGGAAAAGAGATAAACAAATTCTGTTAATGAATAGCAAATGAATGAAAAAACAATTTGAACTAAATGATTCATACCGGTACACCCTGAGAAAGGTCAAAAATGGCGGCCACATCTTTGTATTTGATTCGATTAAATAAGTTCTATCATTTAAATAAAGGCTTTAATTTTATTGATCGAAATATGACACAGGACAACGGATGAGAGCTGTATAAATGACAATGGTAAATATGGGTCAAATGTGCTGTAAATGATTACCTGGGATGATAACGATAATTTTTGACATTGGTATTTATAAAGACAATGGTAAAGTGTCCAGTTCATGTTTCCATTTTCCTATTTTCCAATGCAATAGATCCCCCATAGTCCATTGTCACATCTTATTCTTAACATGATTGAATTTTTGAAAAATATGTAACACAGCATACATGTATCATGTGACATCCTAATTATGCAACAAATGAAAGCTTGACGTAGTAACTTGTAACAGTTACATACAAATAGAGACAATAAAACGAATGACCTAATAACCTTAAGATTATTATAACATCACTACCAAACTCAAAATTACGATGACATACATTCCTGAACATTACCATTGAAATAGGCTTTGCCTTCTGAACTAGACAAAGAATGGTCACACAAATAGCCAATTAATGATTTTATTCAACCATAATAAGCTAAGGTCAGGAGATCATTGGTAGATTTTAGTCACATGGGTTTATTTATAAACAAGATCTCAAAAACATATGACAAAATTATTTTGGAAAAATAAAACAGGTGGATCTCAGCATTAAGCTTTACGAATTGCACGCTAAGTGACCAAAGTTGTCAAATGCAAACCCCTGGGCGTGGAGACACAAAGTTTCTTTTAAAAGTAACCCCCCCCCCCTTGGAACAAAAGCTAGCTACAGGCTAGGCACATTAATGCGCCTATGTGGCTTTATTAGGACATCTGAGATTTGTCACAAACCCAGCCTAATGACCCTATTAAACTTTCGATAGCCAAAGTCAGGGGCCAAACTAAACAAACAACAAAGCTAAACGTCACACATCAGTGTTGATTATGTTTCAATTTGTGACTTCATTAAAGAGATTGAGTCGTCCAGATTTCTATTCTGGACAATCAGTAATGTCCCTATATAATTGCTCATAAAACATCATATATGCCTTAGATATATCTTGAGACCAAATCATAAGCACAATATCGACAATATATCAACAGGACAACCAAAAGAACAACCAACTGTCAGAATTGAACGCAATATGTCGAAAACAGAATACAATGTTTTTTGGGGGATTTATCTATATTGTAACCCCTTAAAAATAATAAATATGGCTTCTCTAAGCCAAAATAATCTGAAGGAAAAAGCCAATCAGACTGGAACAAATTCGAGCGGGCTTTTTAAATTTGAATTTCTATTGATGTAAGTGCAAATTCATGGCTAGGAACAATCATCGAATTGATACTGTTAACGAATTAATTCAAGCCTCAGAATTGATAAGTTGATAAACTTGTTTTACATCAAATAACACGAAAAAATCAGGGGGTTACTCTAATTGTGTTTTTAGGAGACCCGATCTCTTTAACGTGCTACCTAACCAACAGAAAATAATATATAGTTTGTTCATTGTCTTTCTCTGTGGTATTTTCATAAAAAGTGGATTAGTCTAGCTAGTTTTGTCAAAATAGCATTATGGATGACCTTCGTATTTTTCTAGTGTCATTTTCACTGGATTATCTTGTTCTATACAAGGCTACAGGTACGTCTAAAGGTGTTTTGAACTGATAAGGAGTAAAAAGTTAAAATTTCAATTTGAACCTCAAATTGAAATTCATTCATTTGATTTTGAAGAAATCTTTTATTTTTTTTATTTACAAAATTATGGACGTGTACCTTTGTGACTTTCTCCCTCGCCTCGGTGTAAGCTGATATCGTATCGTCGTCGAAGTCCTCTTCAACATTCATCTTTATTAAATTTGAAAGTTATACACCCTCATAAGGACATGTAAATCACCTTTGAAATCCAAAAATTAAAATATTTGTAAAATATCGACCGCCATATTGTTTATGTTGAGTTTTCTCTAGATACCAAACTTCAACACGAAATCGAAATCATTAAAATTCAACTAGGTCAATTTACCCAGGATGCATCAAATTTGGCGCGGCTTTTTTGTTTTCCCAGCAAAAATATCTGTGAATTTGGTAAGTGCATTATCTATCTTTTTTTCTTGATTTACTCGAGATAACTCTAGCTGTTATTCGATAAAGCGTGAATTGGAATACTGGGACTTTAAACAACATACAAATTACTGATTCCATGACGATACAGCTGAGATTTGATCACATCAAGTCACTTGCAAAATTGTTTTGATTTTTTTTCCAAAGAAGTTCAAGAAAATTCATGATGTTCTTTCAGTGAATAGACTATTTTGAACCACTGTAGTCAGACATCTTCAAACCAAAATTTTTCAAATCTGCAGATCCCCTAGGGGTTTCATTTTCATTTGGAGCTGTGACGTTGTTGTATTGGCCTGACTTTTCTGCCTGTTACGTCTTATTAGCCTAATTTTTGCTTAGGTATCAATGTTACAGCTTAAATCCTGGGGCTAAAGAACCTATATTCATCATCGCACAGTATTACACTCTGCCTTGTGTAGTCGTATTCGATGACATTTGTAAACAGCAAGTTGCAAGTTACAACATCAGCAAAGCCAATATACTGAACGATCAATTCCAATCAGTATTCTCAAAAGATCCGAGAACTCCATTGCCAGACAAGGGCCCAAGCCCCCACCCTACGATGCCAGGGATAGATGTCACCCAAGAGGGAGTACTGAAGATGCTGCTTGGCCTGAACCCCAACAAGGCTAGTGGACCTGATGGAATATCTCCTAGAGTACTGAAGACCCTGGCTAACGAGATATCTCCGTCCTTAACAACCATCATTCAGCGCTCCTTAAACCATGGCAAAGTACCAAAGGATTGGAAGGCTGCGAACATCGTGCCAGTCTTCAAAAAGGGAGAGCGATACAAGGCATCCAACTACCGACCCGTGTCTCTGACCTGTATCTGTTGCAAGTTGACAGAACACATCATCACTAGCAACATGATGTCATTCCTTGAAACCAAAGGAATACTATATCCTCTACAACACGGTTTTAGGTCGAAAAGGTCATGTGAGACGCAGCTTATTGAGTTCTATCATGATCTTGTTTCAGCCAATGATGCCAACAAGCAGATAGACGTTATCATAATGGACTTTGCTAAAGCCTTTGATAAGGTCTCTCACCGTCATCTTGCTTATAAGCTTGACTACTATGGCATCAGAGGACAAACCAATGCCTGGATCTCTGACTTTCTGTCTGATAGAACCCAGAAAGTCAGTGTGGATGGTGCCTCATCTGAAATCGGACAGGTAACATCTGGCGTGCCACAGGGAACGGTATTGGGACCGATATTATTCCTGCTGTATATTAACGACCTCCCAGATACTCTACAACATACAACCCTCCGATTATTCGCTGATGACAGCATCATCTACAGAGAAGTTAAGACACCACAAGATGCCACTCTTCTGCAAGAAGATCTGAATGCAGCTGTAGAATGGGAGAAAACTTGGCTGATGAAGTTTCATCCTGACAAATGTACTGCATTGTCTGCCAAGTTGAATCCCAAAATCTACAAGTATGAAATGAGTGGACACACCTTGGAGCATATACCATCTGCTAGCTACCTTGGTGTTACCTTACAAGACAACCTCAAATGGAACCAGCACATAGACAAGTCTATATCCAAGAGCAACCAACTTCTTGGCATGCTGAGAAGACACCTGTGGAAGGCCCCTCGCCACACAAAGCAGATGGCTTACTTTACTCTAGTAAGACCAAGACTGGAGTATGCTGCTGCTGTATGGGATCCACACACCCAAACCCACATAGCTGCACTAGAAATGGTCCAACGAAGAGCTGCACGCTATGTGATGAATGACTACAGCCGTTACAGCTCAGTGACAACAATGCTGAATACACTACAATGGACACCACTTGAAACGAGGAGACAGCAACAACGGTTGACGATGATGTATAAGATCAAACAACAACTTGTTGCAATCCAACCAGACACATACCTCATGCCTCTCCAGCGCAGATCAAGGACTTCAAATAGTGAGAGCTTCCAGAGGTACAGTTGCAGGAAGGATGCAATGCTCCATTCCTTTTTCCCACGCACCATACCTGAGTGGAATATACTACCTGACAGCATTGTATTGGCAGAGAGCTTAGACCAGTTCAAGACTAGTCTAAGGGATCACTACCTTACACCCATGCCTTAATCTTATACTGTCTTTTAACCTATTGTTTTAGCTTTTTATTACCTAACACTGTTTTTAGCTCATGAACTTGTGTTGATGTTCATGTTTTAACTTTCTCGTACTAACCCGCGATATAATGATCAGTAAAATTGATCAATCGTGTATCCAAATGATGATGATGATGAACAGGTCATCTTATCCCGTACCAGGACTAAATAGTCCTGCATTGAGAGCATTCTTTTGCCTGTACGATTACAACTTGGGAGAATTATCTACGCCCCTAAGATACCTACTTCAATTGATTCCTGGGTATTTTAGCATTCTTTTCGTGTAGTTGAATCCACAATTGTCTGGGTATATTGGCAGAACGGGAACATTTTTCTTTTTCATCGAGAGATATTCCATCACTTTCCAAGATGGCGGTTGGATTTAAAAGGGGAATCCCCTTTTGACTGACCCGGAAGTGGCCCGGAAGTACCAAAAATGGAGGAATTTGACGGTTAAAATAAGTTAAATATTACACGCAAATATTGTGATTAAAAACAAAAATTTCTTTATTCTGCCGATAAACCCAGACAATTGTGGATTCAACTACAAGAAAAGAATGCAAACATACCAAGGAATCTATTGAAATAGGTATCTTAAGTGTTAAAAGCGTAGAAAATTCTCCCATGTTGTAATCGTACAGGCAAAAGAATGCTCTCAATGCAGGACTATAGTCCTGGCACGGGATAAAGGTCATCCATCGTTGTGGTTCACCACCACGCTCCATTAAATACTAAACCACGAAAAGAAAAGTCTACTAAAATACACCCGTACCTTCTATCCCCAAATGTTCCATACATTATCAGCATTTATTGGCCATATTCTGTAATGTTTCGGGGAACAGCAGATACATATGTACCTTCTCATCAAATCAAAACATATTTTTTTCTTTCTCTTCCAGCCAATACATACAGTAGATAAGGATACAGTCTAGAATGTCTACCAGTTCATTGAGTATAGGTAGTTTCCATGACTACTTGGAAGAAAATGTTGAGGAAGTGAACACAACTCCCAAGAAGAGAAAGAGACATACACCACCTTCAACCCCAGATGGACCCCCAGGTATATATTGCCGTAAATAAAATCATAATTTACATAGAACTTGCAATGTTTCAGAATTTGGATAATCCTTTAACTTATTATATTGGTGTCGTAAAGTAAAACCTACGTGACCATATCAATAACATGCTTTTGACAGACCTAAGTTGTACATTGTCCAAAATCAATTTACTGGCACTTTTTCCAGAGCCAAAGATGCTCATGTTTTCTTCAAGTCCATGGTTTTACTGTTTGTGATTTGTTATTGCAGCTGATGTCGAGGAAGATATTGAGAAGCTCTATAACTACATACCTGAAGTGGAAGAAATCTTTACTGTGTTAGATAAAGTGGGAGAAGGTGAGTTGGCTGCTGATTTAAATTTATGCATACTCATTATTTCACCAATTAAAATTAACTAAAATTACATAGTTCCCAAAATATAAAATATATCAGGCTAAGGTTTGACTGTATGTGGTGTTTTATTCCAGGTACGTTTAGTTCAGTGTATCTAGCAAGGTTGAAAAAACACCCAGAAGTTGACCAATACTTTGCGTTGAAGCACATCATCCCCACTAGTCATCCATCAAGGACAGAAAATGAACTGAGATGCTTACAACAGCTACGGTGTGTAAATTGTAGTCATATATCCATTTAAAGCTTACCCATCTATAGTAGTGGTGCAACTCGAATGTGAGTTGTCTGGCGAGTTGCACCACTAATCTTCTAATCAAAAACAAACAATGGTTTTGTGCTATATGAATTTCAGTCTTAGCCAGACTTCTTTTGTTTTCTTCAGTTGGTCTATAAGGCTAATGCTGAAATTCGTTTGACAAGCATGAATTGATTGATCTTTGATTGATGAAATATATAGCTAGATTATCAAATAAAAATGCTACATACATTTCAGTGGTGTGAACAATGTGATAGGTGTACAGTGGTGTGTTAGACACAAGGACCATGTGGTGATTGTGATGCCCTACTTTCAACATGGTAGATTTCAAGTAAGCCACCTTGATAATATATAAAAATTAATGGTATGAAGAGGTTATTGAATGGGAGGATGGAATATAAAATCTTATTCCATGGAAAAATATTATATTGGCCAAGGATATATTATATTGATCGAGGGCGATAGCCTTAGTTTCATAATGATATTTTCCGATGCTAATATCTCAAAATCTGGAAAACATGTTAGTATATCATATTCGTTTGCTCTAAGACTATTCCAGCTGAGAGATTAATTGCATATCATGAAAAACAAGTAACAAGTATATATTGAACAAATCTTATAGACTTAATAGCGCTTTCTGAAATAGGAGTTTATTGTATGTAAATCTCCTTGTAGGATGGTGTTAAACTATTCTCAGTAGCAGAGGTGAGAGAATATATGAGGAATCTTCTCATATCCTTGAAACAGGTCCACAAGTTTGATATCATACACAGGGATGTCAAACCAAGCAACTTCTTAGTGGATAGGAAATTGAAACGGTAAGTGCAAATAGGATACTTTTATAAAAGGGGAGAGGTGTTACAGCCATGAGTAGTGAGTGCCATCATGCCATGAACCTTTTTTTACACTTGAGGTGTGGTGGTCATTATGTTTCTAACCCCCATGCCTTCATTTATGTCTATCATTATTGGATGGGAAAAAGTATTGTTAAATCAAGCATGTAATGTAATAATTTGATATTAGATTCATTACTCAAAACTGAAATTCCTTCTTTCAAATCTTATAAACATTTTCTCTCTTGTATCTTAGATATGCATTGGTAGATTTTGGACTGGCTCATAAAGCCCCTGTGCAGTTGAAACCCCAAACTTCAGCTTCTATGGTTCCCCAAAAACCTACCCATGCCAGTATTGTAGCTTCATCTCCAACCAAGAGAAAGACGAGAGCTCAAACAGAAAATTTAGTAAGTTTGTTAAGACATTAACAGTAAAGTATTTAGTCAAGTGACTTTGAAATATTTAGCTATTATGTCATTTATTGTGTTAGGTGAACAGTTCTCTGACTATCAACAATTTAGTTCAGTGATATCAGCTGAATTGTCAACACTAGTTTTTGATTGGCAATTATTGATTGATATATATGGCCATCAGGTATGGTAATTCATTAAGATTTATTAGATCTCTCAGTCAAAATTGAATTTCAGGCACATTTTTGTCCTTTCCATCCAATATCTGCTAATTATTAAACTCAACTGATCTTCACTCTGGAGTAAATTCAAACATTGACAAGTAGACCACTTTACGTACTCTGAATTGATGAAATAATAACAATTTGAAATTGATATGACTATGTTATAGCCTAAGGTGTTTAAAAATGCTATAAATTTGGTATAAGTTCGATATGTAAGATAACGTTACATTTTCATTTCAGGGTGTCCAGGTCTCATCATTGAAGCGTAGCAGCTCACTGGCAGCTCCTTTAAGACTAAATAAACTAACAGTGAATGAAATAAAGGCTGATGCTTTAAAAAATGCTACAGCTCAAGTTCGCATAGAAAAACTCAAAATGTCCCAGACCCCAACTCCCGATATCATGAAACCAGAATTCAGGAAGAAGATGAAGTCTCCACGCAGGGTTCTTATGTGTAAAAGAATGCTTCATGCACAGAAGAAAGATGAGCTTATACTGAGGAAGTTGAATAATAGCAGTTCAACCAGTCATAAACCTAACCCTGCTAGGACTGCCTTGTATGATGCACCCACAACTTGTAAATGCTTTGGGTTGCCTCAAGTGTGCAACATATGCACTGCAAGGTAATATACCAATTTAAAGTTTCACGGAACAATTTTTCACTGATTAAATATACTCTTTATTGTCTATGCTATATAGAACTTTTGAACATTTTCAATAGTTGACATACTGTAATGACCAATGGCCGTCCAATGAAGCAACATGGTGCTAGAAGCTATTTGAAATTACCTAATGCACTCATTTCAGAACCACTAGCATTTGAGATTTTTTGAAAAATCATAAAAATAGAGATTTTATAGAAGACATTTCACCCCATTGAGAAAACTCTTAAAGAGGACCTTATTTGCAATATCATTATGGAAGAATCCCAAATATTTGATTCCACTTAATTTGTAAAAAATATCTCTTGTAGAGGTGCACAGGTGGCACCACGTGCTGGGACTCCAGGATTTAGGGCTCCTGAGGTTTTAATGAAGTCTCCAGACCAAACTACAGGTAATATAGTGTTAAAGCAGATAAAATATTTGAAATTGAATAATTGTTTGCATTATTATGTCACCACCAAAAGTGGTGACATATTGTTATGGTCTCCGTTTTTTTGCGACGGCGGTTGGTGGTTGGAGGTTGGCGTCCGGCGTCTGTAACAATTTCTTACAACTTCCTATAACTTAACAAATACTGTTTAGACTGACTTCAATTTTTTTCTAAATCATCTACATGTTCTCAGAAGTTCAAATCTGACTTGAGATTTGACATTTGACCTTCAATGACCTTCTCAAGGTCAAAAAGGTCTTTTTTCAACTTGCTTCACATTGACTAAATTTTTTTTCAAAATCATCTACATGTTCTCAGAAATTCAAATCTGACTTTAGATTTGACATTTGACCTTCAAATCTGACTTTAGATTTGACATTTGACCTTCAATGACCTTCTCAAGGTCAAAAAAGGTCAAAAAGGTCTGTTTTCAACTTGCTCCAAATTGACTAAATTTTTTTTTCAAAATCATCTACGTTTTCTCAGAAATTCAAATCTGACTTAAGATTTGACATTTGACCTTCAATGACCTTCTCAAGGTCAAAAAAGGTCTGTTTTCAACTTGCTTCAAATTGACTAAAAAAATTTTCAAAATCATCTACGTGATCTCAGTAATTCAAATCTGACTTTAGATTTGACTTAAGATTTGACATTTGACCTTCAATGACCTTCTCAAAGTCAAAAAAGGTCAAAAAGGTCTTTTTTCAACTTGCTTCAAATTGACTAAATTTTTTTTTCAAAATAATCTACATGTTCTCAGAAATTCAAATCTGACTTTAGATTTGACATTTGACCTTCAATGACCTTCTCAAGGTCAAAAAGTTCTTTTTTCAACTTGCTTCAAATTTACTTAATTTTTTTTTCAAAATCATCTACATCTTTTCAGAAGTTCAAATTTGACTTTACAAGTTCTCAGAAGTTCAAATCTGACTTTAGATTTGACCTTTGACCTTCAATGACCTTCTCAAGGTCAAAAAGGTCTGTTTTCAACTTGCTTCAAATTGACTTATTTTTTTTCAAAATCATCTACATGTTCTCAGAAGTTCAAATCTGACTTTAGATTTGACATTTGACCTTTAATGACCTTTTCAAGGTCAAAAAGGTCTTTTTTCAACTTGCTTCAAATTTACTTAATGTTTTTTTCAAAATCATCTACATGTTCTCAGAAGTTCAAATCTGACTTTAGATTTGACATTTGACCTTCAATGACCTTTTCAAGGTCAAAAAGGTCTTTTTTCAACTTGCTTCAAATTTACGTAATTTTTTTTCAAAATCATCTACAAGTTCTCAAAAGTTCAAATCTGACTATAGATTTGACCTTCAATGACATTCTCAAGGTCAAAACAAGATTTGACCTTCAATGACCTTCTCAAGGTCAAAAGGGTATTTTTTCAACTGGCGTCAAATTTGTTTTTTCAAAATCATCTACAAGTTATCAGAAGTTCAAATCTGACTTTAGGTTGAATTCATAATATTGTGAGCAACTAGGTGGTGACATTTTGTCATGTTAATGCCTTGTAAAATAAACTGACCTGTGACTTAAATACACTTAACTGCAGCTATGAGAACAGCTTACACATAATAACTTTAAAATGTAAGTATATTTGCAGCTGTAGGTCTTTATAACCTCAGTATCTGTATTCATTCAGCTGTAGTCTTATAGAACAAATTATCTCTTGCAGCTGTAGACATCTGGTCAGCAGGTGTTATGTTCTTGTCTCTCCTCAGTGGCCGCTACCCATTCTTTCGGGCCCCAGATGACATGACTGCACTGGCACAAATCATAGCACTTATGGGTAGTAATCAAGTCAAAGAGGCAGCAAAACATATTGGTAAGCCAATCCTTCAAGGTCAGGGAAAACCAGGAAATTGCTTTCCCTTACTTTAAAAAATTCAGATATTTCAGAATGACCACAAAAATGATCAGGGAATTTTAGAATCTTGAGAAAAGTTGGAGAATTTTAACTTAAACTGCTAAAACCATGTACTGTAAATTGTCTTAATTTGATGGCTTGATAAAAACAACCAAATTAAGTCTCTGCCAATTTTTTGAAAATGAAATTCAAGGGGAATTTTGTTCAGTACTTTTTCCATGTGTTACCCTGAATGATAAAATCTTGATTGAAACATATTAGATGTCAACTTTAAACTATTTTCTAAGATCTATCCGCTGGTTTAGATAAAACAATCTGATACCGTACCAGGAGATAAAATTGCATTATTGGTGGTGAGCTATGAAGTGGGTAATATGATTGATGATGGTCAATCCGCAAAATTAAATAGCATCAAATTTTTAATTTTGCCCATTCCACCAAAATACATAGCGCCAAATTAAAGCAATTTACAGTATACATAGCCATAATTTTTATTCAGAAAATGGTTAGGTACATCTTACACTTAGATCAGGGCAAGTCTTTTTTTAATTTTCTCCCAAAGCAATATCAAAGCACCGTGCTTTATATGTTATTACTCCATTTCCAGGTAAAGATATTATATGTCACCCTACAGTACCAGCCTTGGATTTAAAGATACTTTGTGAAAAACTCCGTAATAGTACAACCCAAACTAAACCAAAGACCAAAAGTATGGATAAAGAGAACCCTGTGAAATCTAAGAACTCTTGGGACAATGTTCCACAAGATGCTTATGATTTGTTATACAAACTATTAGACCTTAATCCACATACGAGAATAACAGCAGAATCTGCACTGGAACATCCTTTCTTCCATTCTTGATGTCTGGTGTTAAAGGTTAAAGAAATATACAATGTTGATGAGGTTCTTTAAGCCACACACCAATTGTCAGTTATTATCAGGACAATACTTTTCAATCCAATGTATAAAAATCTTGTTTTTCTACAATGACTCACAATCTTCTCAATTTTACAAGGCTATGTAGGATGTACATCAATGGCACTATTAGATTATATGAAAAACATTAGAACGTATAAAGGTGAATGTCAAACCATAAAACCATTTGTGTGTCTTAGTATAATGTAAGTGGTACTTGCTGAAGCATGATTTAATTCATTTACCTATGTTATTCTACCTGTTAGTAGTATTATATTGTTATCTAGAGTGAGTAATGTATTTTTCTTGCATATAGAGTTTCAAAAAAGTCTCAAATCAAGTCCCTGTCATCCCTCTCTACCCGGAATGTGCCTGGGAGAGAGATAAGGGAGTACAAGGTCTTGATCAAACCAAGGGACGAAATATATAATTACTATTTTAGTGAAATTCATCTTCAATGTATTTCATAGAAACATATTTTTAGATAAATATAATTTTACCTAAAACAATACATACAAGGTTGTTTTGCCTTCAGTTTTGCATTTCAAGCCCAATGTAAACCCTTAGAATGAGCATCTGTTCATATGGATGATTTCAGAACCATAGCGAACTGCTGTATTTTTTTAAAACTGGCACCCATTTTAGGTTGGCAAACTTACAGATTTAAAATTTTCAGGAAAAAAATATGACAATTATACAGATTGCCTGTGAAATTTATCATTGGACCTATATGTAAACATGTGTTCTTTGTTGCAGTACATTTTCAATTCAATTGAGTATTATTCAGTTACTGTTCCTTCTTGTCATTTGTCACTTGGTTGTACTCTGGGGTGTTTTGACATTACAAAAATACCTAGGATTGAAATTTTACCGAGGTGAAACTGAATGACATTATAATCAGTTTATCGAGTAATTTTTTTATCGAAAAAGGGAACAAACTTCAAAAGAAATTTGAGACAAAAATTCTGGCTGAGAAAACTACCTCATTTGTTTCAAAGTAGATATAAGCCTTGGCAATTTGTATTGTATCTTTATGTTTCAATAACAACTCACTGTAAACCTACAAGGCCTAAACTGTGCAATTCGCTTGTCACTGGTAGAAAGCCATTAATCACACATCTGGTGTTCTTGCACATGCATAGTGGTAATTAAAGCTGTCTTAGAAAATATGGCTGTGGTGTTTGAAGGCTATGTCATGATGTCCGGTAAGCTTGAAATCTATGATTTCTACCTATGTTTCTCCACTGGCGGATTAGGGGGGGGGGGCCCAGAAAAAAAAATTGGGCCCAAAAGAAATTTTGGGCCAAAAAAGGGCTTCAGGCCCAAAAAATGTGCCTTTTAGGTCATTACTTGGCCTTTTAAGGCCTTATTTTTTAATTTCAGGCCAAAAAATTTTTCCCGCTCAAGCGCGGACGTTTTTTTCTCTGACCTGAAATTTGGGCCCCCCCCCTTGTTGGTTCCCAGATCCGCCCCAGTTCTCTGTCTAGACTTGGCACCTAATTATCTTATGATATTAAAGACTTGCTGAATCATATTTATTTGGTCATTATGTTCCTATTTTAAAGGTATCAGTCAATATAAAATAGATCTTTTCTACATTTTTGAGTGTACTTTTCCTTCCTATTTTCTATATTTTCCTGATTTTTTACTTTAGAACCTTTTTTACAGATAGAAACACTGATGTATTATGAAACAATATCAGTTGAACAAAAGTGTACATTATTTTGTTTAAAGAAGATATTGTCCTTTTAATTGAATAGGTGTTGGCCAAAATTGATATTTTTAGCATTGATTTGAATAGGCAACTTTGAGCTGCTGCATGCAGAAAATAAGTGAAATGTCAAAGGAAAAAAAAAATAATGTAGAAAAATGGTTTAGATGAGTAGAAAGAGGAGACTTCTAGGTAAAAAAAAACATCAAAAAATTAGAGATTTCAAAAATCAGAAACTATAAGAAAAATAACTTTTCATACACATTTGTACAAAAATTAAAATTTTGTTTATATGCAAGTGTTACAATGGAATGTGTTAAAATCAAGTTGATTATGATAAGAGTTCATAGACATTTTTTACATCTCTGCATTTATAATTGATCATGCTTTTAAATTATAGTAAAAGTTTGAGTTTCTAAGTAAGTTTAAATGAGTAATTACATGAAAAGTGAATGCGGTTTAATTAACCAAAAGTGGTTTCAGCATTTAGTTTCTACAGTGGAAGGCTACTTGACCTTCTAGTAAACAAAGCTGAACTGGATACTAGGGTCATCAACACCAGCTTGACAAGCGAACTGCAGGCTTAGGTTTACAGTGAACTGTACAGGGCTATCTTTATATCAACACATGTATAACAGACTGTAGGCAATGTGGCATGAACATGATTTTCAGAGTACCATTATCTAGGTGTATACAAATAATACACACTTACCACAGATTTACATTTGTTTGCACATATTGAACACATATGCTGCACACGAACACAAGTCCCATAATTTAAAATTTAAAATGGCTGAAAATTTTCTGAAGAATGCCAAAGGAATTCATTATGGCTACGGGAAGGAGAACTACAAGGAAGGAGTACCATTACTGCCAGCATTTCATCCGGATGTGTTCACAGAATCTTTAGCAAACTTTAAGATGTTTCCTGATGACATCTATTTTACTGGCTACATGAGAACAGGTGAGTGTGAATGAGAACAAATGAGTGTACATGAGATCAGGTGATCGTACAAGACAACAGGTGGGTGAACACTAGAACAGGTGAGTATGCAAGAGAACAGATAAGTGTACATGAGAATAGGAGATAGTACATGAGAACAGGAGATGGTGCATGAGAACAGCTGAGTGTTCATGAGAATGGGTGTTGGAGAAGAGCTGAGTGTACATTAGAACAGATGAGTTAACATGAAAACAGGTTAGTTCACATAAGAACAAGTGTCACATAAGAACAAGTGAATTTATACAAGGAAGGGTGAGTGTAAATGAGAACAGCTGAGTGAACATGAGAGCAGCCAAGTGTACATGAGAAAAGTCAAGTTACTTAAGAACATGTGAGTATTTATGAGAATAACTGAGTGTATATAAACAGGTGCATGTTTATGAGAACAGCTGAGTGTGCTTCAGAACATGTGAGCTTACATGTAAATTCCAGCTAAATGTGACACAAATTATTATCCCATTGAACGAAGTTCAGAGGGATATAGGGAACGCCTCCGTCCGTCCGTCCGTCTGTATGTACGTACGTCCGTCCGGGCAATAACTCAAATACCGTTGGCCCGATTTTATTCATATTTTGTAGACATATACCCTATGGGGGTAGAAGTTCTGCTCAAAAGCCGATTTTCAAAATGGCCGCTCATTAAAAAATGGCGGCCATTTTAGTGCCGATTTTACAGTAATTTAGGTGCAATATGTAAAACTGTAATAGCAGTATGTTTTAAATGTAAAAAAATATATATAGGACATTAATAAAGCTAGAAATGTAGATATTAAAAAAAGCACAAGGCAGCCATCTTGAAAAATGGCGGCCTTTAGTCGTTATTTTACGATTTTTGCTGTAACTCGAAAAGTAGTGGAGCGATTTTGTTCATATTTGGTATGTGAATACAATAAGCATGGCACACTGTCTAATGACACTTTTGGTAGAAGGTGGCCATTTTGAAAAATGGTGGACATTTTGAAAAATGGCCGCCATTTTAACTTATTTTACTAAAACTCGAAAAGTAGTGGAGCGATTTTGTTCATATTTGGTATGTGAATACGTATAAGCATGGCACACTGTCTAATGACACTTTTGGTAGAAGGTGGCCATTTTGAAAAATGGCAGACATTTTGAAAAATGGCTGCCATTTTAACTTATTTTACTATAACTCGAAAAGTAGTGGAGCGATTTTGTTCATATTTGGTACGTGAATACGTATAAGCATGGCACACTGTCTAATGACACTTTTGGTAGAAGGCGGTCATTTTTCAAAATGGCCACCATTTTAACGTATTTACTATAACTCGAAAAGTAGTAGAGCGATTTTGTTCAGATTGGGAGTGTGAATATTATAAGCATGACACTGTCTAATGACACTTTTAGTAGAAGCTAGGTGCCCCTTTTGAAAAATGTTCGATGGGATTCGCTACGCTTTGGCGTTGCCGTTGTTCTGGTTTGTATTATAATAGGTACAGGGGTTTATACAGTGGGGGGAATCATCCATGCTTTAGACTTTTAAGAATAGGACTGGCATGAAAATTCTTGAACTAATATATATCACCTGAAAAAGATATTTGGAATTATTTCAAATTCTGAAGGCCACTTTCAAAATCCATCCTGTTCCAATTCAATCCCATTCCATTCAATTTCATTAACAATAGAAAAATACAGGGTCTGGAAAAATCAGAATGGTTCAATCTGTACAGATAAGCTTACACTAATTTTAGGCACATACATTGGCTTAGAGGTGCTCCAACTGATACTGAATGATGTGGATACTGAAACTCTAAGGAACACACCAATCTATGACAGAATATACCACATCCTTGTTGGCAGAGATTGTAAGTGACCAAAGAAGCTCTTCCCCAAGCCGTAAGGTGGCCCCAAACTTTATTTTCCCTTTTTGGTTTTATTTTAAATGGGTCTACTTGGACCTCAATTTCACAAACTGACCTAGCTATTCTTGAGAAAATTTAGTCACTCAACACTATAGCATTTCATTGTAAATGAGAATGGAACTCTCAAGGCTGAAAGGTTTTTGTGATCTTTTAGATTTCATACCTGGCAAACTTAAAGGTTTTGAACATGGGGAATCACCGCTTCCATGGCTGAGTGAGCAAAAATCCCCTCGACTTCTAAAAACTCATGGTCTTTATGAATTCGCCCCAAAGGATGCAAAAACCGGAAAGTGCAAGGTACTGTGAGTGTAACATATAAAGTGGAATTACTATATTTAGCTCATCAATTCATAGGCACAAACCATTACATAACATAACATAGCTTTAATAAGTATTCAATTATTTTTAGGTCATTGTAGCAACTAGAAATCCAAAGTCAACATACTTGAGTTGGTTCAAATTGATGCAAACATTTACCCCTGTCTTCCCCGATGGTATTACTTGGGAAGATTATTTTGCTGCAATGATATCAGGAGAGAATAAACACTGTAAGTAAATATAATGTGAAAATACCTTTACATATGTATGTACCACACCACTGTTTGAAAAGTTTCACACAGCACATTTTGATAACATTGGGTAGAACTATAAATATGCCAAAGTGGTTTAAACTTTGTATGAGGCCTTTAATAAAAAGACAATATCTTAACTACATTAAAGTCAAAAAACATAAGGAACTATAAACATTGTTCTTAATTTGAGTAGAACACTCTGTACATGTAAATGTAGTTTCATATATCTTCTACGTGTAGTGGTACTTGGTACATGGTTTGACTTCTGTCTGGATTGGTGGAAACATAGAGATGATATGTCCATCTTTTTTCTCAACTATGAAGCTCTTTTCAAGGTAATAACAATAAATTATTAACCAACTTTGTCCATTGTATAGAAGTCTCCACTTACTCACTCTAAACTGCATTATAAAAACTTTCTTACCATCCCAAGATCAAAGTTGTCTATTCTTAAAAGGTTGGCTACAAATCCACGGACTGTGGAAAGTAAGACTGATATTCTTATCATTCTATTACTCTGTTTTTGTTATTGGTTTTATTGATATGGTCTGAAAACACTCATGGTCAAATATTCTGTTTTTGCACTAATTTTCAGAAAATATATGATGGGGATAAAAAGGATTGCATGTTTAATATCTCTTGATATTTTGTAGGATGGTAGAAAGGTGATCAAAGAGTTGACAGAATTTTTGGGTAAAACATTAACAGAAGAAAAGATAACAGAGATACTAAAATACATTGACTTTGATCAATGTAAACAGAACCCATCATTTAGCAAGGCCCTCAAGAATATGCCAATGGCATCAGAAAAGACCTCACATATGAGAAAGGGTATGTGTAATTTCACATGTCTGTATGAACATATACTATTTCTATCAATATAGGATATCAAATACACATGTACTGTAGTACCAAAATTAAAAGCAGAATCAGATCTAGTGAATCTTTGGTTGCATTTAATATTTTGCCCTTATATTTTTCCAAAGAACATACTTTATTCAAGTAATGCCAAAGATTTTAATATTTATTTATTATTTGGGAGAATTTGCATTGTAGAGAATTCTGCTCTTCATAATTTGATAGGATTTCATGGATGTTATGGAAGATAATATATTTGAAATGGTAAAAGATTGGTTTGTAGGTCAATTCAAAGATAGCAGATTTTTGGGAGGGGGGTACAATATAAAATACATATTGTTTTATACATGTACATTAACAAGGTATCCATAAAGTCTCTTTACAATGCATGTATCTGCAATAAAAAACCATATCTCATCATATACAACTCTTGAGAACAATACAACTCCTGGATATTGTATACAACACCTGGGCAGAGTATACAATTCTTCGACTTGATATACAACTGCTCAATTTAGGGTGGGATAATAATATTCTCAATCTAGGGTTGGATAATGATACTCTCATAAGTATATGATATATTCATGAGTGACCGAATGGAACAGGTATAACACGATAAAACCTCATATTACCCCATCCCAAAAGAATCTGTTATCTTTGGTTAAAGTGAAATCTTGTCAACTACTATTGTACTTAATTCTGCCATATAACATAAAAACGTTATCACCATTAATTGCAACTATTGGTTAGATGCTCCTTCAGATATTTTAAAAGTCAAAAGACCAATTCTAGTTCTCTGCATGTATATTGAGATGACTGAGTATTATAATTGTATTTCAGGCAAGATTGATGACTGGAAGAATTACTTCACTGTGGCCCAGAGTGAACAATTTGATAAACTTTATAAAGAGAAAATGGAAGGATCAGGATTTCCAGAACCAGTGTATGAGTAGCATAGTCATGAGTCAATATCAAGACCAATACTAGTGCAGTTGATATGAAATTAGAGACACAATTTTAAATTGATATACTAATAATATTGACAAAATTCTGTAAAAAAAACATTAAAATCTCTCACCAGATTTACACAGAGTACAATCAGTTCAGGCATGTATTGGCACTTTTGACCAAAGTCTTAAATTCAAATCACCATCTCTTGTTAGTATATAGATTATGTCTAAACTAAACAAAATTATCTAACAACATTTTGTGAAATTCATATCCACTGTATTTCATAGAAACATATTTTTAGATAAAATATAACTTTACCTAAAACAATACATACTTTAGTTTTGTTTTGCCTTCAGTTTTACTCAGAGGCCAGTGAGTTTAAAGCCCAATGAATAATCCCAAGAAATATGCACATCAATACTCATTTGAATGATTTTATGAATGAGTGATCTATCTACAACAGTTATTGTCACATATGCTGTTATGTTTTTGCACTAACACCATGTTATTGCTGAGGATTAACAATTATAAATTAATTACTTATCATTACATGTTGGATGTTTTGAGTTGCTTGTGTAATATGTATTTCACAGAGGAATGGCTTTATGACATTTACAGATTTATGGGCTGCCATGTTTTCCTGGGTTTGTCATAAAGACTGTTTTCCATATTTTAAACTCAACAAAATACCCACATCCAAGAGATACTCTACATATGACCTATAACCCCAATACAAAATTTTGCTATTAAAATAGATTAATATTAATTCAAGGAACAATATTATACAAATAGTGACTGCCATTGAGGGAAATTATGCAAATTATCTTTTTGTCAGGATATTCCTGAGGGGAAAATTCTTACACTATTTTCCCAACATGTGTCAATCACTATTTGTTTTATTATATGCCCATACTCTGTGAAGAAAAACAAAATAAGAAGTCTTTCAGTTTCAACATTAAATGGGAAGATAAAAAGTATCAAAAACTGGTCACATGATGAAACTGGTCATTAGTAGTTTCATCTTCAATTTAGGACTTTCCAAGGAATTAGTTCATCTATTTCATATTATGTGACCATATATGAAATGATTGTATGTCATCCCTCGATTATAATAACAAACAGTAAATGGCAATATCTTATTACACTTTTCATCAAATGGCAACCATAGACAACCATGTTGTAAAGAGAATCATACTTTAGTCAGGAAATTAGCATTGCCACAGTATATAAAGCCCTTATGCCACTCATAAACAATACATTGTATTTTAATAAAATAGTTCAAATCAGTTTTTGTGTCTCATTTCTCCAAAAGAAATTACATGTACTAGTCAAATCACTAATGGGTTTCTAACATGGTGATAGTTCGCGATCATATATATTCTTAGATTTTCGGCACACAGACTAATATGGACATTCTAAAAATTTTGATCCGCATTGCCAAGCGCGAATCGCACTCCTTCATGGTGAAAATTCAAGATGGCCGCCAAAATTATCGTCAAATATGTATATTTTTTTGATAATTTTTTTTACTGCCTTTATTTCAATAAAATGTGATAAATTAATGTCTTCAGGTATTATCTAATAATATTCCTACCAAATGAATTTTTTATTAAGTATAAACATAAGAAATAATATATAAATAATTTAATAGCGCCATCTTTTGATAAAATTATACCAAAATTGACGTCAAAATAACAAACATTTCCCTTATTCACTGCTTCTTTTCAATAAAATTTGACAAGTTTATATCTTATCAAGGCTTACTGATAATATTCAACATATATCCGTAAAAATATTTCATTATAATCAATAAAGAAGAGTGTTGGGCAGCCCTACCTATAGGTATATATGCATTGAACTGCTCTGAAACATAAATTAATGATTATTATTTTATTCATGCTGACCCAATTTACTTATTCTTAAATAACTGTTATCTGTAATGAAAATGTTAGATTTTCGGCACACAGACTAATATGGATATTTTAAAGATCTCAATCCGCATTGCCAAGCATGATTCTCACTCCTTAAAATTCAAGATGGCCGCCAAAATAATCGTCAAATAAGAATATTTTTTTGATAATTTTCTGCTTTTATTTCAATAAAATGTGATAAATTAGTGTCTTCAGTTATTATTTAATAATATTCCCACCAAACAGTTTTTTATTAAGTATAAATATAAGAAATTGCTCTTACAGCACCACCTTTTGGTAAAATTATACCAAAATTAACGTCAAAATAATAAACAATTTCCTTATTAACTTCTTCTTTTCAATAAAATTTGACAAGTTTATATTTTATCAATGCTTAGTGATAACATTCAACATATATCTGTTAAAATATTGCATTATAACCAATAAAGAAGAGTGTTGTGCAGCCCCACCTATAGGTATATGCATTAAACTGAAACATAAATTAATAATTATTATTATTTTATTCATGCTGACCCAATTTGTTTATTCTTAAGTAACTGTTATCTGGAATAAAAATGTTAGCGTTTCTAGATTCAACAACATGTAAGTTGTAGAAAGTAGAAATGAGAGTTATATGAAGGGGGAGGGGGTATGTAAGTGGGGATAAGGTTTGTGGGTATATATTGAGGCATGTCACCCATCTTGATTTTCTGTGTGTTTCTGCACTCTGAAGTATAACAGAACTGTATTACAATTTTCTTCATTTTAGTTATATTGAAGTCAGTTTAAAGTCTAATATTCATTGTCTCTCATGTTGACGTGTATAAAGTCAACAAATTATATCAACCCAGACCAAACACCTGTACTTGCTGCCGAACAGCCCCTCTTTGCACTGTTCAAGCAGTTATAGTGGACAATGGCAAGAGATGGGAGAAAAAACGAAGCTGATAAGGATACTTGGTGGAATACACACTGAGATGGGAGCATTTCACATCTTTGGCAATCTATGAGAGAACCCTGGATGGATAATCTCCCTCTCTCAAGCTGGCATAGCCACATCTGGTACAGCTGATTCCTTTATCAAAGTTAACCAACTCGCACTAACTTGCAGAGCACATCTTATTTCTGCCTGTAGTTTTTATATTCTTGACAAAAAAGCCTGTGAGACACATTGTTTGTGCTGTGATATCGATGAATAACCTCAGTTTGAGTTGGATGACTGGGTGAAAAAACAGTCCCAGCTGAATGGCTCTTCCCAATTTAAGTTCTGGTCGATGGTAATGGATCTTAAACTTTTGAGAGGGCAACTTCAGCCTATACAAAGATACCCTTTCTGAGTTGTTGCCATGCCTTTTTATACTCAATCACACAAACTAGTCAAGGTGGCTACCAGTTCATATCCGTGACATGAACCAATTTAATGCAACACACCAATCAGTGCTTGGTGAATTCATTAAGGGAAACTAAACTGACTAAAACAACAAGGCACATGACATGAACGAAATCATACCATCTAGATATTGTTTTGGACAGTTATGAAACTACATGTAACAGTTTAGAGTCTGGTATAAGAAATAAGAGAGGAAACAGTAAAAGGAGGCATATTTATCCTGAAAATTCCCTACCTAGAAACTGGCAAGATTGTTTGTGCTTGGAGTAAAACAAGAGAGAACTGTTTCAAATCCTTACTGCAAATGTGAGCAATATAATTATTCATGAACGAAAAAGACTTCTCGCAACCTTTGATCAGGATGTCATGTGTCAATCCACAAAAACAATCCACCAAAGACAAATAACCTTGCACACAATCAACACATTTTTTCTGAATGAACCAAATGAATATGAGTTGGATTTGACAAGGGGAGACAGTTCAGATACTTGGCAGCACATGAAATGGCGAATTCCATTGGGCCTCAAAAAGTCTATGTCTGCCATTATTCCACTCATTGACAAGTTACACCTGGATTTCATGGAAGCAGGGGCAGAATTATAGCATGGGACAGGTGAAGCTCATTTTCACAACTGATGAATGCATTCCTCAGTCTAATAGATGATCCTTTATTAATGTTATGTTGCTGTATGATAAATTCAGCAATGACACCTCAATCAACACTGCAAGAAAGAATACATTTTTACAGAAGACTACTTCATTATTGACCACATTCCTCCAACAGCTGACGCCTTAATGCAACACTGCAAGGGAGCATTGTACCAAGGTGTGCATATCTGGGGTCAGTTTAACAAACCAAGTCCTATCATTCCCCGGGTATCATTCCATCTCCAAAGAACTGGGGCTGGAGAACAGAGCCAAGAGACAACACTCAGAAGCCACACAGGACTACCTTAAAGCAGATGGCTGATGCTAGTCAACCATTGGTAAAGTGTGGTTGTCAGAAGCAGTGTTTCCCATGAAGATGTACCATGTACAAGCTTGAAGGCTACTCTAGTAAGCACATCATTGTGTGCCTGCAATGGAGAGTATTCATTAGAATGACTAAAGTAAGGGTTTAAATATGGTAATACTAGGCCTATATAAGATGCAAGATACCCCCTATCTCCCCCCCCCCCAAAAAATTTATATGGTTGACATCTTAGAGTTGGCATTCTACTGTAAAATAATACTATAGAATATTTTTTTATTATGCATGGTACATGATACAGATCAAATCTTGGCTCTCCAAACTATTACATGCTTCCTTCAACAGTTCAATATATTATAAAACACAGTTTTGATTTTGAACAATTTCACCAATAGGTGGCGCTATGGGAGACATTCTTCATTATGTGTTTATCTAAATATTGTTTGGAAAGGAATCAGTTTCTACTAAAACATACAAACCTAATATATTCTGATGGAGGATGGAGATATGATAGGTACAGTACTACAGTATATATGAAATATACATATTTTAATGATTTATCGAAAATTTGGACGAAATCTTAAAAATGGGGGGAATGAACAACCAAAATCTTCTTTTTTGATAATCTAAATATTTTTCAGGGTAGAATTATTATAAATTGATGTTGAAATATACTAATTAACCACATTTTATTGAAAAAAAGGAATGAAAAAAATTATCAAATGAATATTATATAATTGTCGGCAATTTTGGCGGCCATCTTGGATTTTCACCAAGAAGGAGTGCGAACCGCGCTTGGCAATGCGGATCAAAATTTTTAGAATGTCCATATTAGTCTATGTGCCAAAAATCTAAGAATATATATGATCGCGAACTATCGAGCCATTATTGACTGGGCTATACACCGATATTGAAGTTTACTGTCCAGCTGAACACTCATTTATTGACAAATCTAGAGTTTGGCAAATATCTGAAATGTCCTTCAGTTTTCTTGTACTGTATAATTATTTGATCATAAAATAGGGAATAAATATGATCAAATAATATACAATGTCACGTATGCCATCTTCAGTACTTCATGGCACAATCTGATTAACTAAGATAGATATTGTGTCCATTTTTGAAAATAAATAAATAATGAAGAATGTAATATACAGGGTGCATCATAAGGGTTGTAGATCTGTAGTTCAATAACCATAGTTCCTACATTCATGTTTGTTGAAAAAATAAGATGGCCCAGATCAAAGGTAACTAACTCCAGGCTGGCACTTTAAGTCGCTCCCTGGTTGTTGTGCATGTCCAATGTCCATGATTTCAGTGAACTGAGGTGAAGCATTATGCTATTTTGCTGCTGCTTTCTCCTTTTTCTTTTCAACTTGTTTTTCTTTGGCCTGGAATGATGAAATATACAATGTACTTTATGTAACTTTGGTGACTCTCCAATTGAGTATATCAATAAAATTAGCTTCTCAGTTTTCACAGGTGTCTGCTAATGGGCAAACCACCCAATGCAGACAGTACTTGCAGAAAACACTCAATGCGCATTTGCGCATGTATCATACAATGAAGTTCTCAACTATTTACATGCTATCATTTTTATTAGGTATCATCGACACATATGAATATAATTGTATACCCAACATGACATAAATCATTCAATATCACAAATTCAAAAATGACTGTTGGTTCCACACCTCAGGCGCATGATATCAACAGAGCATATTACTCATTATATTTCAGCATTCTCTATAAATGGTCTACAATATTTGAGACAAATGCTCAAGATGTATAGAGGGAGACAAAATCCTAAGCTAATGGCCTGACATAACTTTTCTCCATTCTTTTCTCCATGTTATCTTATCTTTTTGAATAGCAACAAGCATGTAATTAGCATGTTTCTTTAGGAAGAATATTGTATTTTTAAAGAGAAAAACATACCTTTTCTACCATATCTACAAGTTTTCCTTCCTTGGCAAGGATTTTGAGTAGTTCCATAATGAATGGTAGATAGTTGTGACGTCTCCTGATATTTTCAATCTGAAAAAAAATAATTGAATTAAAAGTTATGTATCCAAATGCTGCAATAGAAGGCTTAACATGATCACAGTTGCAAATTTCTTTTATAATGGATGACTGCTTGTATGGTTAAACAAGTACTGATACTGCCTCATAAGTTGTTGCTGTTGGAGATAAAACTTCAAATTCAATATGATCTATGCTCCTAGAGAGCCTCGATGCACTTATTGCTGTCATTTGCCATAGTACAATATACATATATATACAAAATGTATACAACATCAAAAATCTGAATTGTATAGTCGAATATGAAAACATTTCTTACTTTGTATCTGTTAGATTTGAGATCCTCTTCTTGTATAAGCATTTGAAGTTTACTGATTTCCAAATCCCTTTCATCGGTCTCCATTTGCTAATAAACAAAACATAATGAAAAGGTTATTTGTGGCTTACTCATTTAACATATAGGTCTATTATATTGATTACTACACTTTATGACTAAATATGAGACTTGGGTTGTTTTTATATGATTCTTCAATGAATAATTTAATATAATCTACTGTTTAGAGTACATGTATATTGGTTCTTATTGTTTGATAGATGGTATTGACAGCAACTGTCAAATATTAACTCAAACCTGGATTCAGTTTTTAAGGCCTCAGTTGACTTTGAGCCTAAATCTTTAATATTTAGTCTTCTCATTATCTTTATTGTGTTATTACCATGGTCAGTCAATGAACAGGGTGGCCAAAAATGACCAAAGTATGTTACATTGCAACACCAACATTACATTTACCTTCATGAGTTCTTCTATTCGGTTTGTGTAAGTCATTTTTCTGTCGGAAACTATTGCCATTAGGTTGAAATGTATTTCATCTGCAGCATACCTACAATCACAGAGTATGCCATTAACATGAAATAAAATTCATCATTATTTATTTGTTCTACATTTTTGAATTATTAAGACCAAGATAAGACTAAAACACAAAGCTAAAGGAATCATAGGAACAACTATAGCAACAATTATTTTCATACTTTGAAAATGTGCAGTATTGTCATTGTTTTGTCTTTAAAATAATTGTATTTTACCATTAAATACTCACTTTTGTATTCTTTTTTCTATGACAGGTCTTGCAGAATCCAACCAATCAGATCCCTCCGGTATACTGCCTGAAAGTGAGGCAGAAAATCGTTTCATTTCACTTGATTTTGTGACTTGAATGAAATATTGCACCAGATTTTGACAAAAATGAACTCAATGCTGGAAATATATATTTTCATCAAAAACGTGTAAGGTTTTTTTTATAACCATATAAAACTGTCTAACCTATTGCATGACATCTCAAAATTTTATATGTAGACCCGTAGGGGATATAATAGTGTAAACTGTAAACCATAGGCTAAATAAAATGATTTAAAAAAATGTTTTTTTTCAAATAATCAACATAATATGTGTAAAATGGTGAATACTATTTCAATTTTAATCATGAGGAAATCTAATTAAAAAATTAAAATTTTATATACAGTATATATTCTAGAAAAGGGTCAATTTTTCCTGTTTCCTTAAGCCAACCTGAATAAAAAAAATAGAGGGTTCAGATAGGTCAGGTTTGAGTAACAGAAAGCAGGAGGGGAGCTGTTGGGTAACTATAACTTTACCATGGTCTATGGGTCCTTCCTTGAGACCATCTAGCTCATACAGCCTGCCATCTATAGGTAGATATCCAATAAAGTGGAAGACATCATCATCTTTCTTTGCCAGAGATTTATCGAATTCAAACATTTCTTGTCTAAAAAAATAAATATTATATTTTTGAATTTTTAGTTTAGGCTATTCCATATCAACATTTATATTAATAGATGTAATTCTGTACAATATTATTGCCTAGTTTTGCAAGAGTTTCGACAAGTTAACAAGATTGTAAGCATGAAACATTATGAAAGATGAGGCACAAATGAAAATACCAAAAATGTAAACGGAGTCTATGTAATATCAGGTATAAAGTAAGAGGTGAAAAGTTTGCTGTGAGGGGTGTAAGACTTGTGTTCATTTGAACAGAAGTTGAAATTTGGATCTTACCTTGCAAAACTGTTGTGGACTTTTTTGATTTGGTCAGAGTTACTAATGCTCAATCCTTTAGTCTGAAAATGTACAAACATAACAGTATTCAATAAGAAAATAAATCATTTTGATTTGAAGTATCAATTATCATGTTTATGGTATGTTTGTTTGTCTCAATCCATTTTCCAGCAGATACCAGGGAAAGGTTGTCTTTACATTACTTTTTTTATATAATTTTTTTTATTTCAAAGAATAAACATGTTAAAGCAATTGCAAAATTGACAGCTGACTGATAATGTATATGGGGTAACACAAATAATGTCAAATATGTCGTCTAAATACATGTATTACTTACTGCAGCATCAAATGACTGTGTGAACTCTCTGAATGATCCTAGTGTTTCTCCCAGCTTGATGTCTTTATGTTCAGCATTCAGTAAGATGCTCAGAATGGCTTGAGTAGCACATGCATTGTTGATGACCTGAAACGAAAGTTCAAAATGGATCAAGACACTGTACTACCCCTTCCTCCAACTTTAAGTGCCCCTCTTCCATCTCTAATTGAATGAGACCAAGCATTATACAATATACATACAGATAGACTTAGTAGCAAAACTTAGTCTATCTTTCCCTAAATTTTTAGAATTAATAATAATGCAACATACCTGTTTGGCAAAGAATATTTTTTCCAGTCGACTGTCTTGAACAAGTGAACCCTGGGGTGTGTCATCTGGCTTCCATTTAAACAAGAATATAAGTCCATGAACAGGCCTGGAGTTAAAAGAATACTTTAATTAAAACCTGGAAAGCTAAAATTGCCACTGATACTGATTCTTTTGAAAGCCCTTGTTCTCTACAAGAATTACAACATTTGTTATCTGTTTTGTGGAACACTATTAATGTTAATGATACAGAACAGAATATTCCAAAAATGTGCTATTTTGACAACAGGAGAGCAGATTCCTCAAAAATGAGGCAATAGGAAGAACTGGGACCAATTGTTAAATTACCTACTTGAATCCCAGTAAAACAGATATGACCACTGCTTATTCTTATCTGAATTGTGCGCCAGAAATGCAACTTACATATCTCTTACACTTTACAAAATGGGCTCTTAAAAAGTTGACCAAAAATGGGCCTCTTTATAAGGGCCTTGTTTCTTGTGGTTCTGGTGGTCATACCTTTGGACATTCCTTGCTAATCCCCCTCTTTCCCACAATATGCATGGAACAGAGGCTTCTCTATGGAGTACCTTACCTTAGATTTGCAAAGCTCTCTGGGTCTAAGCTCCATATTTCCTCTACTTGTGCCCCAGTCACTCCTTAAATATAAAATGTTACTATTGAGGATATCTTGATTGAACCATGTTTTAGGCCAGATATCATTTTGCCCTGATAAGAATTCTTGTCATTTATTAGAATTGATATTTGAATCAAATTCATAGAATAAGATGACAACTATTAAATTGAGATGATGGGCAGGGTTCAAAGAAAAAGCTGACAACCCATTGGCCCAGGAATATGTTTAATTAATGTAAAATCAAAGTTTGTCTAATTTGAGTTTGACTGTCTTCTTAAATTTTTTCTTAGGGTACAATGAGGCTCAAACGAACTTTGATTTTTTGTTAATTATACATGGTTCTGGGCCTATGTGGGAACATATTTGAGATGACAGTAATTAATGGATCAGGGGCTGGGGTAAAATTTTCTAGAGGGTGTAAGCCACTCCTTGCATTCCCCAAAACAATTGAAATAAAAGATATTTCACTTCGCTTCAGAAATGTATGTCAAACTTTTAAACTTTCTTTTGCATCGAGAGTATTAATTTTAGATGTGAATTACATGTATTTCTCAAATTCTGTTTCACTGAAGCAAATATCTAGGTGACCAAACCTTTTACTTACAGAGCAATAAAATCTGATCTGAATTATGATATTTGTGTGGGCGATAATATGTGAAAATTAAAAATGTTATTTGTTTCACTTCAAATTTCAGTGTTACATAAGCTTGTTCTACTCATAGAATAGTATTAAGTTCTCCTTCATCACTAGAGAAAAAAGTTTACTAACCAAAACCCTTTATCAGCTCTGTAAATACACCTGGATCACTCTCAATAAGACACCAATCACCGGCCGACATTGTTTCGGATTTTGAAAGTGAAGACCACTTAGATAGAACTTGTAAGATTTTGTTCGGAACTAGATTTCGTAATTACACGCAAAAGAAAACATATATTCAATATTTAAATGTTCTTATGGTATAATATAAGTGTTTGAATGCAAATATAAATGAAAAGACTTGCGTATTTGTGCCACATATCATATTGAAACTTCTAAAAAGTACCCTTACACGCGCAGCAAAAATTTAAAAAATCAGAAAGTCACAGCTTTATTTCGAAGAAATGGGTCGATAATCATGGCTAAATGTAATGATGAAGATGGCAAAGAAGACAAACCTTGTGAGCTTTACCCAGCTGTTGCAATGGTAAGCTGTTAAATTGACGTTTCGCAGAGTAATCAATGTAAATGCTCCTAGCCAAGCTCAATTATCACCCAGTATGATTGTCAGTGTGGCAATTTTGGCATGTTAGTTATTGTTACTGCAGGGGCAGATCTGGGAACCAACAAGGGGGGGGGCCCAAATTTCAGGTCAGAGAAAAATACGTCCGCGCTTGCGCGAAAAAATTTTTTGGGCCCCTAAAAGGCAAAAGTGGGCCCAAATTTTGAAATTTTGAGGCCCATTTTCTTCAAAATTTGACCTGAATTTAAAAAATAAGGCCTTAAAAGGCCCAGTAATGACCAAAAAGGCCGACTTTTTGGGGCCTTAAGGCCTTTTTTGGCCCAAAATTTTTTTTGGGCCCAATTTTTTTTTCTGGGCCCACCCAAGGGGGGGGGGGGCCCGGGCCCCCAGGCCCCCCCCCTAATCCGCCAGTGTACTGTGTAAAAGGGGAAGTCTGTTAACCTGTTTTTCAATCACGGACCTCTGCCAGATTCTTCCTGTTGGTCTCTAGGCTCAATAAATTTACTCAAGGATCAGACATAAAAATCTTCAAAAATGTTCATTTCCTTGATTCTGGAGTCAGTTTATCATTATCAATATCAACAATACGGCAACAAATATGACATGTCACTCCTCAAATGATACGTACTGTTGTCAGCTTTATCTCCAATTACTTAAACCATGCATATGTATTGACCTTTGGGCACGTCAGTCGGGAAGCTGTGGTGTAACGGACCAGATACTGGACCTGAAAGTGCCCAGTGCGGGAATCAAACCCAGGATCTCCTGCTTGCAAGGCAGACCCTCTACTCCTGAGACTGTAGTAGCGACTTGCTATCGAAGTTCATTACACCATCCCCCTGGAAGATGACATCCCATCGTAACTGATTCACAAGGGCAATCCCAATTCTGACACCACTGTAATGACCCTTTGGCATGTCTGTCGGGGAGCTGTAGTGCAATGAGCCAGATTCTAGACCCATAACGGAGTGTGCTAAATTCAATGCCCAGTGTTGGAATAGAACCAAGGACCTGCCGCTCACAAGCCAGATGCTCTACCCCTGAGCCACAAGGGCTTGCCACTACAGATGAGACTATAGTAGCGACTTATCATTATGGTCGGTGGTCGATGGTCATTACACATATGTGTAAATGTATGTTGATAAAAGCACAAAATAGCTGACTAGGCCTCTTTAAGAGGGAAAAATATTTTTTTAAGAAGGAAGAGCTGTCCTAAGCCAATGGGCGCTTATTTATATGGATATAATTATGTGACGATCCTTCAGATTACTTTGAGCATGGTAATGGGATTGCCTTGAAGGATTGTCACTTTGTTTCACTTTTGCACTTACATACTTTTTGTAGTTACTCTAATTTGTGTTGTATTTAATATATGTAGAACTCTTTAAGATTTTGCAAAAGGGTTGTTGATATAGACAGGCAGTTGCCCTGGACTAAAATTGAGAGTGTCAATTTCATTTATTCAAGATCCATTGAATTCGGGTCCTCACTTGTTTTTATCATGTAACCATAAACTTTATATTTGTATATATTATGCCATAATTGTGTAGAGTAATGACAGCGTATAATTTTTGTTATAAAACTGGTCATTTTCATGTTAGCAACTGTGCTGTAAACTTTCATTCAAGGGATAGCCAAACTTTGGGTTTGTTTACTTTCATCCAAAACGAGGCTAGGCTGGAGATCAGCTGTTTTAGCTCAGTGATTTTGTCTTGTCTGGGGACTCTCTTCATTGCATTGAAACGGGCCGGACGTGTATAACTTTTTGGAATTATAACATTCAAAAACGCAACTCAAAACTGGATATTTATATAAACACAGATATACCAACTTAGGTGAACAAGTTGGGGAAGGTAATTGAATTGATTTTATTGTAATTTTGACAGGTTTTTGAATTTGATAAACCACTGTAGTATCTTTTATTTTTATCTCAATTAGCGTGTATAACATGTATAAACACTCATTTAAAACTGTTTAGGGGATTTATTGCTAAAGGACTACTGTTGATTTGGATTATATAAAGTTTCTAGCGTCTTTTGGATCAGCTTGAGCTTTGAACTGATTCAGTCTTATTCCATACTGGCAATAACCCCCGCTTAGACAGTAAAGCTCCTTCTCAGATAATTGTCTGTAATTGGGCTTTATCACCCACTCCCTAATTTAAATCCCAGTACCCGTTTCTGTGATTTTTCACCGCCAGTTTGGTTGGAGGAACTTCAATAAGAACAGGGGTCACTGTGTGCCGACAAGCCTTAAAGGTCATGGCAAGCCATTTCAAGCTCATTTGGCTTCAACTGGCTTATTAGAGCTTCCCATATATTTACCACAACTTCCCCCCCTAAAGGTCACGGCAAGCCATTTTAAGCTCATTTGGCTTCTTTGGGCTTCCTGTTACTATTTAGACTATTTACTACAACCCCTCCCTTATACATGTTATACCAAAAACACTGATTGTATTTATTTCTAGTCAGTTTTACACGTCTGGCCTTACTATATATTGTTGCTTATAATAGATACATCATTCACTATTCTTTTTCTTTAAACTTGGAATGATTTCTCATATTCCATATCTGTTTTGATTTATAAACCTGAAATTGAGAGATAACTTTTTGAGCAATTGTAAATTCGAGGGATCCCGGGAATTGTTATGGAACATTTGACAAGGCGTACGTAAAGTTATGGTCTTTAGGAACCAATGTAACTTATTCTAAACCAGAGTCATTGTTCCTGGGGTTCCATTGAATAATCTTTATGACCTTCCCCCTCCCCCTTCATTCAACTTGAGACTGTATTAACTTTATTCACCAAAGTAACTTTTATTGACCCATTAGAAAACAATATGTTGTGTATGTTCATGCCTGGGTATTTTAAAAGGGATCCCGAGCATTCTTTCTGACCATAATCAAACAGCTGATCACTGATTCTGCACCCAGTACTTGCAGAGTCAAAGTCAGTATTGAAGCCAGTTCATAAGGCTTTAAGCCTATTCTAAGATGCTGTCTAGACATTTTGACCAGCCCCTAACTACATAGCATGAGTTAGTACAGATTCCATTTGGGGTCTTCAAGCCTGGCACTTGCTTGTATGGGGTTCTAGTCAGTGTTTACCATCTACCCCTCCCCATTTAGTTTCCATATCTGGTCTAAATCTATGTTAGCTATATTCTATATAGTTTTTCGATTATAGACAGATTTTATGCAAGAATACCTTACCCTTTTGTTTGCTAATTGTGGGAAAAACTACGTTCCACTTTTCATGTGAGTAGTATAGGAAGGTGATTTCAATCCCACTAGAGATCATACATAACGGAACTGTTGATTACATTTTTGGAAAGAAACACATTTTGGGCTTTATTGCAAATTGATTTACTGAACTTCCACTGACTTTGCTTTTTTGTGCATTGTGTATGAGAGACCATTTGTGTACTTGATATACCATTTGAATGTACTGATTTTGTAACGTTTGTGTAGAATAGTAATAGAAATAGAGTCGTTTTTATACATTATATAAAAATCCATTTACTTCCACTGTTTTGTTATTCGTGTGTTTAAATGGTGAATTAGTAATAGTATCCCCTGATGAGTTTGACAGACTCCTGATTTGAAAAAGCCCTACTTTAAGCATTACAAAGTTTCCCACTTTAATTGTGAAAAGTGACAACTTGAAGCCCATTGTAGCCCTCAAGTGGCTGCAACTTGACTTCCACCTGGTCATACTCACGTCCTAACTTCATACTTATTTGATGCAATTTAACACTGGGCATATTCAGAATCTTGAGTTTGTTGCCATTTGCTTTTATGAAATATAAAATTTACATTGAACACTGAGATATCTAACTAAGCCTATACTTAGATATTGTTATTCCGTAACTGTTATCCCGAAATTGTTCCACTTCATCCCAATTATTTGTTATCCCAGAATTTATCCCTAAATTATCCCGTAAATTTTCATAGCAAAATTTATCCCAATTTTATTCCCTATATATTTATCCCCACTTTATCCCATTTGTTAGGTACTGTGAACACAGATGTTGTTCAATTAAATAGGGGATACACTTTTCAACTTTTACTTGAACTTGTTCCGAAACTTAGTGAATGAAAACATCAAATCAAATTATTGACTCTTAGACTGTATTCTGTTTACGACCCTCAAACCACGCTACCACACGAGGGTCGCGACAGAAATGTTGGCCTAGCGGTGTGATGTAATACTTTACGTATTGACCCAAGCCTAGTCCTATGCCATTGCTCATTATTTGTTATTTTGCACCAATTGCAATCTTGCCATATATATTCCAATTGAAGTGATCAAAATATTCCGCAATGTCAGAAAAATCCAAAATGAAAACTTTGCCATGTCAAAAGTCCCTATCGGGAGCTTTTGGGTCTATAACACCAAGGTATTTGGATGATTCAGAAGTGGTTTTGGGCCATCAACATCTAAATAAAGATTTGAAACTGGCACAAGATGATACTTTGCCCATAGGATCTCCTGCAGCAAGCAAGATCCTGGTGAAAAGAAAATCTCCATTTAGACCCTTACTCCCCCCAATTAAAATAACTGACATTTCCAGATTTAGACCAAATACCCCAGAATTCTCTCATTCCCGTAATTTGACACTGAAGTCCCCAATAAATGTCAAACAAGAGAGAAAACATGACTATACAAAGCCAAACTATGATTTGTTAGATGATTCTAGCAAAGAGGGAGTAGTAAAGGATGTGCAAGTCAACTACCAGGTTCCACCCATTGCTCCAGTGCCACTGACACCTCATGAAGGTGACATGCTTCAGGGAGCATATGGGGGTGAACTGTCAGAACAGACTTTGCAAAGCCCTTTAATGATCCCATCTGATAGAATACCACCCTCAATGTATTATGACCCTAACTACATGAAATGTTTGCCTAAAGAGACTCCATCAGCTGATCAGCCATATGATCTTAAGATGGATTTCCAGGCTTCA